AGTAGGTTTCTTCTCCCCTTCTTAATGGAGCGTTTAGTTGGAACGAAATATTTTTTTTTTCAGGAGGGCAGATTTGCATTCAAAAAAGAATTTACTTGTGATATGACTTATAAAATGAAAACGAAAAAATTGATTGCACGCCGATGAGCTTTGATGAAATAAATGGCATGTCTCATCGATTATTATACGATCAAAGCTTAATTTGCTAACAGAGCCAGAAAACAAAAACAAACAAGCAGCTTGAATTATTTTACTACAGTGTAAATCCTACTTTTTTAGTTAGAGAAATATTTTTAAAAACCAGCCGCATTTTGTAATTTTAAAAAAATAACACGCGTTGGCATAAAGGTTTCAAATTACCACTCTGTACTTCTCATGTTGTTATGCAAATTCAGGCCAATTTTACCGCGATCGCAAAAAGTATTTTCTACGACTTTTATTGGCTATTTTTGTGCCTCACTTCTTTAGCTTTGTTTTTGTTATTATGGCTTCGACTTTCTTTCACGATTTCTTTTAGAAACGAAAGAAAGCGAGTCTATAAAATTGCATGGCAATCGAGAAGGTTCAGACCGGCATATATCGCGTGTGAATTTCCACTTTATCCTCGGAGTAAATACGGACTGTCGAAGAATACTTTAATTTTCCAGACTTTCGGCGCGGCTCAAAACTTACACTTCCTATACTTCTAACTGTATCGTGTTTGATCTGAATTATTTTTGTAATTCGTACCAAGTTTGTTCTTTTTTGCAAGTCGGGTTACAAAGATTTTCAAAAAAGTGCCCAGCGTTGAATATTTGTGCCTAAACCGTGCCTAAACCGTGCCCAAACTGTGCCTAAAGTGTGCCTTAGCAATATTTAAAACGTGCCTTAACTGTGCCTAAAGTGTGCCTAATCTGTGCCTTTGCATGTTTTTTTCCCGTGCTTTGGCACAAAAACCGTGCCTTTTCTTGAGCGCGAATCGTGCGTAAGGCACGGTGTTACGCTCGTGTACACCAGTAGCGTGCGCCAAGCCAGGGCTAAATGATATTACCGCAATACCCCACTTTAAAATCCAAATTACCGAAATACCGCATGAAAAAAAGCTCAATACCGTAAGCCCCCATTTCTCCCTCCATGCTGTTGAAGAGGTGATAGAATATTTGGGCTTAAAACATCCAATTATATTTGATGTTTACAATCTTTGTCATAATTATCACAGCAACAAACTTTCATCTTTCAATGTTAGTGTTGAAAGACATGTGCGGGTATTTCGAAATACCTTACAAATCTACAGATCTAAAAAGAGACCTTTTAGCCAAGGTTTCAGTGTAAAGGAATGTGACTGAGTGCAGCAAAAAATAATTTCATTCTGTAACTTTCCTGCGCAAGAGTTTGAGTGCATGGTATGCTGTCCAATCGATAATGTGTCAAGTTGTGCGTTGTGCATTGGTTATCATCTCAATATCATAAATATTAGTGTGGAAACAAATTATGAAGCATATTATAAAATGAAGTTGCAAAATGAGTGAGGCACTTTCATCGATTTAAAAGTCCTACCGGTCTCCTATATTTTTTTATGATGTCCTCCCCAATATTTTGGTGACCCTATTCGGCGGAATGGCGGAATACATGGAATCAGTTGTAAAATATGGAATATACGTAATACTCTAAAACACTGAATTTACAGAATATTCTGTATTTGATTTGAACTGGACTGACGAAAAAGCAGAGGCAATATTAAAAATTCAATTTTCGT